TGCATAAATAGAATAAAAATGTAAATTTTATTGTACATATTATTGGAATATATCCTTCAATTCTTCAGATTATCAATGAAATACGTTATAATTTACAGTATTAAATATTTACCTGCAAGATGCCAATGATTGTTACAATTTCTTCTTCCGATATGTCATCTGCCTTGAAGAACCTCTTGATAAAATGAGCAATATTTAATGGCTCTTTAGAATTATTTATTTCATTGCAGTGGCTTTCGAGGGATATTAACTTTTTATAAGATTCTGGATTAGTATCCTTCAATGACAAAGCTCTTATAATATTTATACATTGATAACTCGGATGGGGATAGCCAAATTCGGTTATTGATATCTGCGATATTAACATAAGTTCTTCTCAATGAATTTTAAAAATTTGCAATCTTGAGAATAATAATTACCTTAGAATCTCTGCGAGAACATGAAAATTTGCATTCCAATCCATGTTCGTTACAGTTTTGACAAAGAGGCCAGCCACATTTTTCGCAAGGTATTGCAATCTCTTGATTTAACATCGTATAACATTGAAGGCACACGGGGACACTGTTGTACATAAGACCTGTTATCAGGGGTTGATCATCCCGTAGAATAATTTCTCCAACTTTGATATTTCTCGTAGCTACGTAATGACGACCCAATGAAGGATTTTCTGCTAACTTTGAAATAATAAATGTATATATGATATTTAATTAATTATAAATTTTCGAATTATTAATATATTATAATATAATTTACGAAAAATAAAATAATTGGAATATTTCAATTGAAAAACTATATCAAACTGTTATAACTGTTTAATAAATAAAGTAAATTTTAAATTTCTATTCTACGTAAAAGATGTAATAGTACGTAATACGAAAGTAAAAACAAATAAAATTACTCATTTTTGTCACAAATGACTTGCAATAAAAAGTTGTTGAGATTTGATAATTCAAATAAAGTAAAAAAATTTTAAGGATTAAAATTATATAGGATAATATGGATTGCAAGAAATTGTATTTTGAAAATAAAGTATATAATTAATCATCATATTATTTTGTTATATTTATATAATATTTTAATAATGATAATGAGAAATTGATTAAATATAGATTAATATAAAAAATATTAATAAAATATTTCTAACCTTAAAGGATTTACAAACTTTTGAATGTTTCTTCCAATCTTCTTTTTGATGTTTCTTGCTACAGTAATAAACATTTTCACAGGCACTGCACTTATGAACTGAATGTCCTCCACAAATCACACAAGTTTGAGATTCCATTGCTTTCAACAATTTTGTTTTGTAAAAAGATATGCATATATTAAATTAATTATATATATAATTATGACGAGATAATCTATTATATATGTTAAAAACTTTAAACTTATAGTAAAACTTAAACAAATATTTAATTATTAATTAAATAACAATTAAATAATAATTTAATTATACAAAATTGAGCAACATTTTTAATGAATAATTAATAAATTCATTTAATTCATAAATATATTATCATGTATTTATATATATATCATCTAATAATATAATTTACATCTTTTTTAATTATAGAAATTTCAATAAATATATTTTTTTTATTTAATCTAAAATCTTTAGAAAAACTTTCAATATAATATAAAGTTGGATAAAAATATTTTTGATATTTTTATCAATTTAATTATAAGAATTACAAAAAGATTTTAGAAAACTTTTAAATTTTACATCTTATTTCTATAAAGCAAGATTAGTCAAAATCGTCTACTTAATTAAATCAAAAAATAATTTATAAAATCCATTCAATGTTTCGTAACACACTGAATAAAAACTACTTTGTAAAGGAATAACTTGTCCGTCTTTGCAGTAAAATATATTCTAACTGCTAAACGTACCTAACAATTTGCTTGGGAGCAAGTTGAATTCCAGAGTAGAATCTATTTATAGAAGAATAAAAGTACTTGTGCATATATTTACACGAGCAATTACATGCTTAGATATAATGTATACAATGTATTATTTTACATGATTTAACGTCAATCCATAACTATTATAATTTTTCACATAAGAAACAAGTTTTGAATAATAATTTACGCTGGTTAATATCGAGATTAAATTCGTGTCGAATCTTAAAGAAATCTAAGATTATGAAATAAGATGTAGAAGTGATAAAAAAACGCTTTAGTAAAAAAATAAATAATACGTGAGAACACTTTTTGTAATAATTGTAAAGAAAGTATTGAAGGTATTACATAAGGATAAATCAATGTGACAAATCAATATAACTAGTTCAATTCTTTCTACACACTTTCTTTTATTTACACAATGTTTAGAATCACTTGTAATTAATATGATGGAAAGATTAGAGCCACTTGGACGTTTCAAAAAATTCAATTCCTTCAGCTTTTAATCGATTCAATATAGGTCGATAAATGTCCGGAGTGAATGGAAGGATCACACCTCGTTTTTGAATTTCGCCTATTAACGTGAAATGAAAAAATAAAATTTGTCAAGTTTCAAAGTTTAAAAACGTTTAATCAATTAAAAAAGGAAAAGAATATACCGTCAAGGATCATTTCAACTGCGATTGCAGTCGAATATCCGACTGTTCGTGCCATAGCAGAGTAACCTTGTCTATCGCCGTATAATACTAAATTGATTTCTCTGTTTTCTCTCTTATTGTCGGGCCAGAGTATACCCACGTCATGCCTTAAAATTACTAGATCCCGTTCGTTTTGATCATAGCATAGCTTCTTCGATAAGTAATGGGTTAATGTATCGAGTGGAGTGTTTAACTTTAATACTAAATCCTCCTGAAGAAGGCCTAAATCTTCGATTGCTTTCACGCCTTCTTCCGAATTTAACACCTCTGCTAATTTTCTCTTTAAATTTTCGTAAAAAATGTTGTCATTTGCTAAACCAAGTAGGTTACAAATTAATACTCTCTGAAATAATGATACAGATAAATTTGGATGATACATTTTCTAACGTATCAATTCTAAACGTCAAGTCAAAGTTAATGTACAAAAGTATCAAGATTTATTTATCAAATTACAAATAAAATTTTTGCATTGGATGAAGTGTAGAGATAGAGATAGATAGCTCTCTAGTTTCTATCTCACTTAAGATAAACTTAAATCGTTTACAAATTAATAAATAATTTTTGCTATAGATATAGTAAATTTTGTATTTGTCCTATCCTTTCAAATAATTAACTTTTTTCCCATGATTATATGTATGTATACATACCCATGTAATATCTGGACCATTTGGATGTAAACTTGGATGTGGATTAGGATCGGTTAACCGAAGATATTGCAAACTTCGTATAGTATTAGAGAAACCTTTGAATCTTAATGTGCCTCGTAGAATCGTGTGGGCATTATTGAGTCCGTATAAATCTTTATAAATCGTACTATCCCGATTCGGAAAACCTTCCAGCGCAAAACCGGGTAAAAAATCTAAATCTTGAACCGCAGACATAAGGCTTCCTCCTGATTCTATTTCTACAACCTTTATAATGGGGATAAAATTTCATGATTTTGACATTAGGGGGAAATATTCTGATAGATAAATGTTTTATAATTCTCTAAATGATGAGCCATTTTTCTTTCGACATATTTTAACTGCAAATTCTATAATTTTCGCTTACTTGTCTATTAGAATAATATTTGGCCGATGCCAAAGTATTGAGCAACACTCCTCGTGGTGACCAATTAAATTTATATCGCAGAGGATTGGATGAACATTCTGGTGCGGGTAAACCGCCACACCAGGAAATAAAAGACTCGATTTTCCCACCAGCTTGTTTAACATTGTCGAAACATTCTAGAGCTAGCAAGTGGTCGATACCAGGATCCAAGCCTATTTCATTAAGTATAGTTACTTCTGCTGCTACAGCCCTGACAATTAACACGTTAATATATTTAATTTTCATGTATATTTTATATATTTTTTTTTAATCATTTATTTGTGTTCATATCAATGATATCTTTAAATATACATATAATATATGTATAGAGAGAAGAGTGGTAAAATGAATCTCCAATTTTTCTCAAATATTTTAAATTATTTTACTAATTTCTTGCACAATTATGATTTTCTTAATAATATAATGCCCAGTTAATTGTCGCATAATAAGAACCAGAACTTGTCACTTATTCGAAAATATAGATAGATATTCTGAAAATTATTGACAGTTTCTTTCTTTTAAAAATAAAAGAGACGAATATTTCTTACGAGAGATAGAAAGTGTTCGTGTTTTGAAATGCATATCTTAAGCAATGTATACAACATATCGAAAGCATCGATTCGAGCAATGAGTTTTAATAAATAGCTGACACAATACTAGAAATAGCGATGTCTTAGTTTAGTCTCGAATAAATTATTAACTTAAACCGTTTCAATCAATGCTTTTTGTCTATCAAAAAGTCTCAAAAAGTAGAATTGGTAGAGATAAATTCGCGAAGATTAAATGGACAAAAAATTTTTTAATTCGGCAATTAACCAGGCATTATCGTAAGCAACGTATCATTTGGGATTATTTTAGATGCCTTTATTATAAATACGAAAATCATGAGTGGTTTCAATTTATCAATCGAAAGATCCACAATACCATCCTTTTCCTCCACTTTTCTTAATATCTTAAAATTAAAATTATGACTTACTCGTCGTGTAAGGATCTAACATCTTCATTCATGTAACTTGCTGTTACTAAATGAGTTTTAGCATGTATGCATGCATTTGCAACGACGTGGTGTAAAGAGTAAGGCAATAGCGAAACCACTACATCCGCCGATTTAACAATGTCGTTTAATGTATCGGGACGTTCAACAACGTTTAACAAAACTGGTTCCACGCCAGGAAAATTATTTGCTAAAATGTCTGCCTCTTCTTTCAATTGGGACGCAACAATTAAACGTATGTTGTTATCTCTGTGCAAATATTCGACCAACGGGCCGGAAACATGCCCAGCACCAAGGACAACAACCTATTCACACAAAATAATATATTTTAATGTATTACAATTAATTGTAATTATTGATATCTGTAATATCTAATATCTAAAACATTTTGTTTTTAAATAAAAAATTTACCGATACAAAATATGTGCATTAATTTTTAAAGAAATTAAAATGTTGCTTCTTATAAAATTTGCTTTATATAAGATAGCAATTCTTGAAGTAAAATCTGTAAACTCCTAGAAGCAAGTGACTTTTAAAATTAAAATTTTTTTCATTTAATGATATTATGAAAAAAATATAAAAAAAATATTGTTCATCAATTAATCTTTCATTACAATCAATCAATAATATATTTTTTGTAAATTCAATTTTTAAAAAACATGGTAATTAAAACTTTAATTATAAAATGCTGCTTCTATATTATTTTATATTTGTCGCAAAAATTTATTTTACGAAAATAGAAGAATAAAGATTTTATTTTTATACCTTTTTAGTTTGTGCTTTATCGTCTGCTTTATGTTTACAACGGTGATTCAACAATCTTAATTCTTGAATATATTCAAAATTAGGTGTTAGCCGTCCATTGGATGCGATTATTGCACCGTGCACGGCTGGATTGAAATTATGTTCCTCCAACGGTGCCTTTGCATCCGATTGAATAATGTCTAACGCATAAGGATACAAAAGATTTCCAAAGAAATCTGTAGATTCTTTTGGTAATTGAGTTGGCATATTATCGATTGAACAGACTAGCACACCGGGTCCTTTAAAAGATTTCGTATCCTTGTTACGATCAGCATCGTATAAACAAAATGGTGTGTCGATAGTTGTGCACTCGTTCATGAATCTAGGAAAATTTTAGAAATGAAAATGAACATTTTTTAAATTACATTTATTTAAATTAAAATACTTCTTCTAAGCATCTTTGATAAATTATTGACATTATATATTTATTCATATTGCGAAAAAAAAATATTGATATTGATCTTACTCACTCGATACTACCTCCAGGATCTGCAGATATATCACAGATAGCTAACATTCTGTGAGGTAAAGAAGGCGCACCAACGCTTGATGGTAGCCAAGGTGTATAAGCTGGCCTTAACAAGTATTTCGCATCTGGTATCGTTACTAATTTAGGCGAATCAACTGCCCAATAAATACCATTAATTATCACTGATGCGTATGGTGCAATCTTTTTGCTGAAAGTCGAAATATATCTCTCAGGGTGTTTATCACATTCTTCAGAATCAAATCCACCTCCATCTTCCTTTCCAAATGATGCCTTCGCCTTACCTCACATCCATATATCTTTGTCGTATCTGAAACAATTGTTTTTAATGTTTTAAATGAATCTATATATATGAAAAAAATATTCACAAAATAATTGCAGGATTA